TTAAATATATATTTATATTTTTTTGGTGCTGAAGGGAATGAACCTGGGGCCCATTTTGCTATTTAAAATTTTGCTTCTCCTTTAAACCCATGATATTACCCTGTTATGTTTATGGACAGATAATATTTTCCATGATTTTCAATAAAGCATAAGGAAAAGTCTATTCAGGATGCATATTGGTACTAATTAAATTGAGAATGATTAATATAACAAATACTCCAACATCTCTCGTTTGCCTCCCAAGCTACTTTTGACATGACATATACAACCTCACACATTTCCTTTTCAAAGATTCTGGATTTTTTTTCTTTTTCCGATCCTACATTACTTCATAGGGACTTAGAGGGTACAGATGACAACAAAATAAAATCTGTATGGGCCTTAAATTTTCCACTTTTCGACTAGGAGATATGGCTCTTCGGTTAACAGCACTGACTGCTCTTGCAGAGAACCCGGGTTCGATTCCCAGCACCCACATGGTGGCTAACAACCAACTGCAACTCTAGCTCCAGGGAATCCGATGCCCTCTTCTGAACTCCTCAGGCACTGCACGGTATGGGCATTATACTTAAATATATGCACTCATACACATAAAATAAAAATAGTAATTTTTTTAAATTGCAATTTCCAGGCCGGTTAGATGGCTCAGTCGGTAAAGGTACATGCCACCAAGCTTGAAGACCTCATTTGTATCTCCAGGAACCACAGGGTGGAAGGACAGAACCAACTCCTGCAAATTGTCCTGTCCTCTACACGTGTGTACACACACACACACACACACACACACACACACACACAAAATAATAACTGCTTTTTTTTCAGAAATGTGACCTGTTGCCTCTAGTGATTCTTCTTATTGGCACAGTGAACTGAGTAAAATCGAAAACAAATACACTGTTATATTAAACAATATAATTAATGTTAAATTAACGAGCCGCCACATTTTTTCTTATGAGCAACTAGAAATGCCGCAGCTCAAAGCCTGATTCTCAACCAGAGAAAATCTTAGATTTGTCTTCGGATTCGATTTTAGCCTCTTGACTTACAGATGAGAAAACCGAGGTCCGAGAAAAGTGGCTCGACCGACGGTTCTGAAAAACCGCAGTTTGAAGCAGAGGACATAAGACTACTAGGACGTCCGGCTCAATCTCAGACGCGAAAACCCCCAGGAGCTGCGAGCCCCGCCCCTTAGAGGGCCCGCCCCTAGAGCTGTCCGCGGCAGTGCCTGCCTGGCGGTCAGCGCAGAGGGCCTCGCGGGGTCCTTCGTGCTGGCTCCCGACACACTGCCTGAGAGGGTGCGCGGGCGACTTCCGGTGTGAGTGACGAGTGGTGGCCACAGCAGGGGGACAGCCGGGGACGGTCAAGCAGGTACCATGGCGGACGGCGGCTCGGAGCGGGCCGATGGGCGCATCGTGAAGATGGAGGTGGACTACAGCGCCACGGTGGACCAGCGCCTGCCCGAGTGCGAGAAGCTGGCCAAGGTGAGGGGAGGCCGGCCGGCTGTTGGCGGGCGCCAGGGGCTGAGTCACGGGTGCAGCCTGCCTAGGCCTCAGGGGGCCTGCGGGCTTGCAGCGGGCATCCGGGTTGCCTGCCCAGCCCAGCTTGGGCCTGCTGGAGTGGGAGACCCACTAGCCGGTTGCTAGTGCCTCCATTCTTCCCAGCCCTGCTCGAGATAGATGGGCACTTGTTTCCCATGGACGTTAACGCCCCGTTTTAGTCCTTGCCTTTTCTCGGGACGCTAAGGAACGTCTTAGTTTAGTCATTTCTCACATTCATGCTAGATCAGAGGATGTGATTTCATTGTTGCTGTGGCCGGATCAATTTATGTAGTTAAATCGTTTATAAATCATGGCAGTGTGCCTGGTCTTTGGTCGGAAGATGGAGCAGGAAAGGGAGAGTGCAAAGGTAATGGAGCAAGAACCTCTGTCCTCAAGGAGAGCATATTCTCAACGAATTAGGCCAAGTCAAGCATGGTCATAGTCATCCAAGTTACTGGAACAGAGAAATAAGCTGTTTATTCTTAGGATGAGATGCTGACATTTGTATTGGGCCTGATTAAGAAGAAATAAAGTGCAGGATAGCCTAATAGGTCAAGTATTGGACGGTGGCCCAACTATTTATCATGGACTAGCTTGTATATGTGTGTTTATTTTGCGGTGCTGCACACGTCAAGCAAAATACTCTACTATTGCGCTACATCCCCCAGCCCCTCAACTGGGAACATACCTTGACCCAAACATTTTGACACCCTGTGCTATGTGAGAGGCAAGGTTATGTATCATTTTATACGTAAAGAAACTGAGACTGAAAGTAATTTGCCCACGGTTACAGTTAGACTGAAAGTAATTTGCCGGAGGTTACAGTTAGGAGTAGCCAGAAGCTGGAATTCAAGGCTAGATTTGCCTCATTAAATATGGGTTGTTGGTGAATGGGCTCCATCATTGCTCTTGCTAAAAAGTACGCCAAAGGCCTTAAATTCCTTCAGCAGTTCAGCCACACACAAGTGTTAAAGTCATTTAGGGGCTGAAGAGATGGCTCAGTGGTTAAGAACACTGGCTGTTCTTGCTGTCCTCCATGGGCATTGCACAACATGGGTGCACTTACATACATGCAGGCAATACACACATACACATAAAATAAAAATAATAAACAACTTTTTTAAGTCACTTGGATGCACACACTGCCAGAGTTGTTTTTGTCCCTGAAGGAGCTTAATATGCAAGTATATCTTGTAAGGTGAAAAAAATGCCAAGGAGTGCACCACGGTTCTTAAAAACCTTTAAAAGGTTCTTTTAGGCTGGGTGATGGCACACGTCTTTACTTCCAGCACTCAGGGAGGCAGAGACAGATGGATCTCAGTGAGTTTAAAGCCAGCTTGGTCTACGCCGTGAGTTCCAGGACAGCTGGGGCTACAGGGAGACCCTGTCTCAAAAAGACAGAAAAAAAAAAAAAAATTATTGTTACTTGTGTGCATGATTGGGAGAGTGAACTCAGATTGCCCAGGTTGTACTTTCAGCGCCTTTATCCACTGAGCCATCTCCTGGCCCTAAAGCAATCCTTTTAATGCTTTGCTTTTCTTAGAAAAAAAAAAAAAATTTAATGGAGCTTTACAATAACAAGGATGGGGAAAGATCATAAAGGTGATATACATGTATTTCTTAAATTTAGTATGCATGCTGAGGGGGAACTGTAAATTCAGTTTTATTTTATTTTATCTTTTTGAGACAGGGTCTCCCTGTAGCCCCAGCTGTCCTAGAACTCACTATGTAGGCCATGCTGGCCTTGAACTCACAGAGATCTGCCTGCCTCTACCTCCAGAGTGCTGGGATTAAAGGCGTGCACCACCACACCCAGCTGTAAATTCAGTTTTAAATTAAGCTTTATAGAAGGAAAAGAAACATCTTCAGTTCCATTAGGGTGGGAGAACTCTTAATATCTAATACTACAGTGTCAGGCAGGTAACAACCAGCATTTATTGAGTCCTCTCTATAGTATTGGGTACTCTGCTGAGTGTTGTCATGTTCTGTAAGTCACTTGATCCTCACCTCAACCTTGTTCAATATCATTCTTACTTTACACACAAGGAAACTGAGGGTACCAGTACTTGGTGATATAGCCCCCATCATATAAATACAGTAGTAAAGTAGGAAAGTCAGGATGTGAATCCAGGCAGGCTGAGTTGAAACTCGATTCCAGCACCCTGTTGTTCTCAGTGAGTCAGATGTCATGAGAACCTTATCTTCTGAGCACCTGCCCAGGGAGAGAGGCAACTCTCCACCTCCAGTTAATCATCCCTGAAAATGGATTCTAGTCAACACTGCTAGTTTGAAGGGGAACCCAGAAATCTGGATTTTTATATGAAATACTATAATAGTTAGAAACTGCATACTAGTCTGTCCTTTTTTTAAAATATTTTTATTTTATGTGTATGCATGTATTGCCTGCATGTAGGTAAGTGCACCCATGTCGTGCAATGACCGAGAAGGACAAAAGAGGCCGTCGGATCCCCTGGAACTGGAGTTACAGACAGTTGTTAGCTGCCATGTGGGTGTCGGGATTCAAACCCGTGTCTTCTGCAAGAACAGCCAGTGTTCTTAACCACTGAGCCATCTCTCTAGCCCTGAGTCTGTCCTTTTTTTAAAAAAAAAAAAATTCTTATTTTATGTGTGTGAGTCTATTGCCTACGTGTAGGTAAGTGCACCCATGTTGTACAATACCCAAGGAGGTCAGGAGAGGGCGTCAGATCCCCTGGAACTGTAGTTCCAGACAGTGGTCAGTTGCCATGTAGGTGCTGGAACTTGAACCTGGGTCCTCTGCAAGAGTAGCCAGTGCTCTTGGGGCTGGAGAGATGGCTCAGCGGTTAAGAACACTTGAGTGTTCTTGCAGAAAACCTGGGTTTGAATCCCAGCACCCACATGGCAGCTAACAACTACCCAAAACTCCAGTTCCAGGGGATCCAACAGCCTCTTCTGTTCTCTGCGGGCACTGCACCACATGGGTGCATTTACCTACATGCAGGCATAACACTCATGCACATAAAAATAAAAATAATAAGCCAGGCGTGGTGGCGCACGCCTGTACTCTCAGCACTTGGGAGGCAGAGGCAGGCGGATCTCTGTGAGTTCGAGGCCAGCCTGGTCTACATAGTTCCAGGACAGCTGGGGCTACAGGGAGACCCTGCTTCAAAAAGACCAAAAAAAAAAAAAAAATTAAAAATAATAAAAATAATAAATAAAATACTTTTTGGACCACATGGTGTAGATTTAAACAAAACATATCTGCAGGCTAGTCACCGCCTGAACTTCCACTTTAGAATTAACAATATACTCACAAAGGAGAAATCCATTATTTATTGTAGAAAGTACAACTAAATCAGGGTCATACCAGAAATTCCAGCACTTAGGAGGCTGAGGCAGAGAGTCTTTGGGGGAAGTTCAAGAACAGCCTGGGCTGCATAGCAGGACTCTTGTCTCAAAAGAAGAGGAAAGTAGATTAAAATGTTGTCCAAGACAAAGTCTGTCCTGCTGCAGTTCTAGTAACAAGTGTGATTTTTAATTTAGGACTCGGAAATGCCAGGTGCCTTTCTGGCTGTTTGATGAGTAATAAAAGTGGTCAAAACAAAGAATATTTGGGTCTGTTAAACTAGGTACAATAAAAATATTTAGATTCTGAGGGGGTGGTTTGTTTTATTTTGTTTTTAAAGCCTTTATGCTTCCCAAACAAAACAAAAGGTATGTGTGTGTATATGACCCATATGTATATGGGTCAAGTTTTTGTTTTTGTTTATGTATATGAGTGTTTTGCCTATATGTCTATATGTGTACCACATGTGTGTCAGGTACCAGAAGAGGCCAAAAGAGGGCATTGGATCCCCTCAAACCAGAGTTACAGAGAATTGTCAATTTATATGTGGTGCTGGGAAGTGAACCCAGGTCCTCTGCAAGAGCAGCATGTGCTCTTAACTGTGCTGAGACATCTCTCTAGCCCTGTAGGAAAGAGGACTTGGAGACAGGAGAATACACTGCTTTTCAGGGGACAGGGGGGTCTTTTGGGGACAGGGTCTCTCTGTAGCCCCAGCTGGCCTGGAACTCCCTATGTAGACTAGGCTGGCCAAGTGTTGGGATTAAAGGCGTGCGCCACCACTCCTGGCTTGCTCTTTTCATTTTTGAGAAGAAAAGTTCAGTGGTTTATCTTAGGTTTATCTTGGGTCACCTAACAACAAGAATAGTCATCAGTTTTGCAACATCTCACTTCCTCTTGAATGGATCATCAGTTCTACACTTAATTGTTTATCTTACATGTGAAATTTGAAGGTGAAAATTGTGGGTACAGGTACTTGATAAAATGTGAAAAAACTATATTTAGCAGAAACCTTTAAAAGGCAGGCTCTAGGCTGGAGAGGTGGCCCGGCAGTTAAGAGCACATACTGCTCTTTCAGGGGATCCTGTGCCTCTAGCCTCAGGCACCTGCACTCATTCATACATGCCCACATACAGATGCACATACTACATAATTACAAAATAAGAATCTTAGCCAGGCGTGGTGGCGCACGCCTTTAATCCCAGCACTTGAGAGGCAGAGACAGGCGGGTCTCTGAATTCAAGGCCAGCCTGGTCTACATAGTGAGTTTCAGGCCAGCTGGGGCTACAGGGAAACCCTGTCTCAAAAAAACAAAAACAAACAAAAAAAGAATCTTTAAAAAGGTGGTTTTGTTTTTAAGACAGACTAAAGTCTAGACCTGAGTAGTAAAATTGCCAGACCTCGCCATTCTAATCTCCTGACACACGCTCGACCTAGTCCATTTCTACGCATGACCTAGTCCATTTCTTTTGTCTCATCAGCAGGACGATGAGATGATAAAAGTGACACTAGTTTTCCATGGCAGTCATCTCTTCATCTCTGAGGAGGGCCTCACCTTTTCTGATCTACAAACTAGAGGTTCAGCAGTTGTCAGTGCACAGGACTTTCTGTTTGATTATGG